CCCCTCCGGGGGTCCGCAGACGAGGCTCGCTCGAGCCGCGTTACGGCAATACTGCGTCGGCCGACGTGGCTGTCTAACCCCTCGGGAGTTGCGGGACGTTAATGAAATAACACGGGAATTAGTCTCGGACATTACCGGCAAACTATGTCCATTACCCGTGAGCCCGTACACGCCACTTTGTCTCCAACTTTCTGCTCGATATTCCTCGGATCGTTTCAGCTCCGCCCATTTTGATTCGCGCCGATCGTGGCCGAGCCGCGAATAGTGGGATTAAATCGTTAATTAATCCATTCGTATTCTCGATCTGTCTGTGGCGGGATTCTTCTGTACGGGGGTTGCGCATCGATCGATGCGCAACCCCCTCCTCCGCGCCAAATTAAAGGAAATTGAAGGTAATTGTAGTTATCGAGGATCAGACGCGACGCGGTTAGGCGGACTTGGACGGTTGGTCGGCGACCCGGATCTCGATATCACGCGATATCGAATCCGGTGGTTAACACGTCGAAGGTTAGCCGAGTTAAAGCGCGAGGCGAGGGTGTACGGCACCGTGTTGGTGTATACATCACTGGGTCAAAGTAATTGAAGATACGGGCGCGAGTCGATTACGCGAGCCTCGTCTCTATGCCGCATCACGTCCCTTTCCTCCACGCGCACGTAACTAATTTCACACTCCGGGCGAAAAGTAGGAGGCGGGTACGGAGGCTCGTCAACGAGCCTCTTTTGTCCCCGCCTAGGTCCCTTCAAGAATTCTAGTGTAAATCCCGCCACGTCACTCGGTTCTTTGTAATTCTTCTTTGCTTTCTACCTTTGCTTCGGCCACACCACCACCACCACCAGGGAAAACGGCTGTTACGGTTGCCGTGTAACAGTTAAATATTCGGAACAACGAAGACCGTCTAATTGCTGTCTTCTTCAAAATCGTACGCATGCGAGTCGCGTCGCAAATTTTTAAGAGAATTTTTAAGGGAGAAGAGAAAATTCTTCGGTGGATGAGAGGAGTTTACGACGCGGATCGGTTGACCTCGAAACGAAGGAATAAAATGGTGGTCGGGTTGAAGGGACGAGGCGTTCACTTAACGTATCGCGACGTCTCTCGATTCGTGCGTAAACGCGTAGCGCGCGAGAATCGTCGTGTATATACGGATCATTGGTATATATATATGTATATACATATGTATATATGTATATATGTATATATATACATATATGTGTATATATATACCAATGTTAGCGTGTAACCGGGCTTTCAAGCGAACGACCGTAAGTCGCTCAAATTGGTATGGATTTCCAGTCCAACACCTCGATTGTCCCCTGTGAAGAGTGCTTCGCGAGCATACATGAATTCACGCCTCAAACACACGCGCGCGGCCGTAGTCCTCCGCTTTCCCTCCCTCCGCCTCTCTCTTCCTCTTCCCTGATCCCTCACCCTCTCTCACTTAGCCAACGTCAACCCCGTGCTTTCTCCTCTCGCTCTTTCACCCGCTGCCGGGAATCGGTTTCGCTTTCTCGCACCGAGAGGAGTCGCGAGCGAAATCTTACCGCTATGAATGGGCAACGGGAACACGCGGGTTTCACACGCGTGTGGACGCGTGTACGTGCACGTAGCGGCGGCAGCCACGAGGAGTCTTGATTGCGTGCCGGTGAATGCGTTTCCACCCGTTCTCTCTAAGTAGCAGCTCATTCCGCGATGCTTGCTCTCGCGACTTGGAAAACGAAGGTAGCTTCTCGTGGTTGAGCCTCTTCGAACCTACGAGTGCGTGCGTGCGTGCGTGCGATTCTGCACACACACGCGCACACATTGCCTCGTCTTTCTCACCCCCGTCCAACGACGAATCTCGCGATAGAGTTTATATTTTTAGCTCCCGTCGACGCGCTCTTTTCACAGCCCGGCGTGGATACTTCTCCTTCTTTTTTGCTATTTACGCCGGTAATTATTTGTCGTTCAGTTGGCGAGCCCGATTACCGAGTGCTCGTTATCTGGAGCATCGAGAAACGCAACGGGCAACTCGTGCTCGCGAGGGCTAATTACTCGTCTCGTCGCGCGCGTTTCGTTCAATTTGGGTATCCTTTCGTCGTGGTAATAGTCGATCGGTGGCCCGCGAGAATTTTTCGACCAATGGAATAAAGGAATTAGAAAAAAAAAAAAAAGAAAAGGAAAGAAAGAGAGAAGTTTGAGCACGACTCGACTCGACTCGACGAAGGAAATTGCATTGCGGTGCGTGTTCGAGCCGCGCGTTTCCTAGGGAAGGGAGGACGAGGGAAACGTTCGGTTTCGGGGGTAAGAAAGAGGAAGGAGGAGGGATGGACGTCTCTTTGAAGGAGTAACCACAAATCCTAGTATAATACTAATAGGCCCATAATAGAGTCAATAGGGCTTAGCCGCGCGACGACAATGAGATCCTGTCAAAATACAGTCGGGTAACACGAGACCTAGGAAGTGGATTTTTCTCAATGGAGGCCCCTGTCTTGTCACCGGTGGCGCGGGCCGTGGCGCGCATTGTCGTTTTCGAAAAATCCGAAACCTTCCAGCAGCGCGCGCGATTGGGGTTTAAGTTTCACCGGTGAGCACGGGATTCCGTGAAAGAAGGAACGAACGCAGGAAAACCGGGATAATACCGGAATATAATGGCCGGTGACACGCGTTCCTTCCATACTCTCAAGTGAACAATCATCGCTCTATCGCGATCCTTGCTTCCCTTAAACGTATCCCCGTTCAATTTTCAACGATCGTCGCTTTAAAACGTCCTTCTTGTACCTATAATCTCTCGTCGTATATTTATAAAATTACGAAACCGTTTCTCGAAATAACCGATATAAGCGAATTCGCTGGAAGTATCAACGAATCCGTGCTCCACATTCGCCATGGTCTCTCTCTCTCTCTCTCCTCGACTTCTAAGGCTTGTTAAGTGTTCCGACGTTGGAGCATACTTTTCTGGGTTAATTTATCAAACAAACGCGCAAACTCGGCACAAGCTCGGCATCCCCATTTTAAGACGGCGGCTCGTTAAAGTCGTTTGAGGGTGGAGTTCCGCCGCCCCCGGTGGCCGCCAGCCACCACGTAACTACCACGGGTGCAACGTCGGTGTCGAGGCGGCAGCCACCACCGTTACCACCCGCTCTCAAACCCGTGAAACGCGAACTTTCCCTTCCTGCCCCTCCCTCCCCTCCCTCGCTCTCTTTATCGCTCCGTCGACCGGAGGCAACCAGCCCTAACCTTCTTAGGAACGCGGGAATCTTTTTCAACCCCTGTTTTTCACAGCCTGCGAGCCGTCCGCGCCAACGACGCGGGAACGACGACTTTATTAGAAAATGGCCGTGGCGAGAATACCGTCTTAATACGGTTGCTAACTTGTTTCTTCGCGGTGAAAAGGATATGTATTGCCGCGTATCTACGTTCGCGCGACCTTTTGGAAAATGGAAAAGCGCGGCCGTGGTACGCGCGGTACGACAAAGTGAATCAGAATCTCGGCGCGCGATTTAACGGGCGGATTTTGTTCTCCCGTCGCGCCCGTTGGGCAATTAAATCCGCGGCTACACTAACGAGTGAAATCTCACGAGAGAGCGACGAACGAGCCACGCACCAACCAACGCGAACGCCTGCGCCTGCCAAGGATCGCGCGCTTTTCAAAATTGCCTTTAATTACGAATATAACTGTTGTGGTCTCGACACCGAGCCACCCGTCGTCGGGATACTTGTCACTCGTTAAACGGCAAATTATGAAAATGCAATAATTAAGATCGCACGCGTTTTTCTACGATATTATACGGTGCTCTACCACCACCCCCATCGGTCCAGTCTGTCTTTCATCGTCGACCACGATCAAACTTTTAACCTAACTAGCGATGGAACGCGAAAATTCGACTTAAAATTAGAGTTAAACTATATCCGATATAACTAAATCCGATATTAATAACAAGGTAACCTGGATCGTGTCTGGTCCCGTGTGAAATAGAAATCGTTGTGTTCTTTCTTTTTTTTTTTTTTTTTTTACAACGAGATTTTAATTAATTAAATTACAGTTAATTCTGATCGAATCATTAAGGGTAACGCATTCGAGTCGACTGATATATACGTATGTACGTGTGTGTGGGTGTGTATCTCCCTCTCTCCGGATCCCAAAGGCCATTGAGATCGGATGAAAAATGTCTTACTAGGCGCTAATGAAATAATTGTCGGGTTAATTTCGCGATGTCGTTAATCAGGGTCGAGCGTCGAGGCAGCGGAGTACGCCACCCTTTCGAACTGCGTTCTACGGAATTCTGGTTAATTTTTAAATGAAATTTCATTTCGCGAATACTTAGCCGCAATACGTCCGCGTTATCTTTTATTTTTTCTCTCTTTCTTTCTCTCTTTCTCTCTCTCTCTCTCTCTCTTTCTCTCGGTTCTAGAATCTTTCGTACATATACTCTACTACTAATGGATTATAATTATATGATGAATATTTTTCCACGATAATTTGTGTAACCTGAAATATATTATTCACCAACTAAATTTCTCGTCTCGGGTAAATTTTGAATTCATAATTCTCTCTATAGGGCAATTTCAATAGACCGTATTTTTACGAGATATGAAATCATATTATTGCGGCTGTATTCTTACAGCTGATATGGAAAAATCAAAAGATTTATCCGTATCCGTATCTTTTGTATAAATCATTATTAACATTCAAATTTGACATAGTTGGTGGCGTTAGCATCGCCTGTATAGATCCATCGATGGATAATCCACTTATCTTGAATCATAGTGGAGATTTATCATCTATTGTACCAGTATGGCCGGCTTCATTGTTGTAAACTATAATTATAGCTACTCGTTTTTAAATTAACGTAACGTTAATTTAAAAAGCGCGCCGTATCTCATTAAATGATAAGCTGATAGATCTTACTTGTAAACTTACTTGATAAAACGTTTTTTTTTTTTTTGCAAAAAGAATATACGAATGTTAAATTTATCTACATTGCACCGTGTATAAAAGTATGCAATTTTTGTTTTGTTCCAGGTTTCTCTCAGTCGAAGAGTTCGTTCTCAAACACAAGCCCAGGTAAGCTTTGTTAAAATACCTCGAAAGTATAATACCTCATATGTTTGAATCCTCGTCTCAGCTCGGCAAGCTTCCAAATAACCGGGGGAAGGAACTCGATGTTCTTTCCATTTTCATCGAGAGATCACTTTTCAGAATTTCACCAGGCGAATCCATAAACACGCGCAAACGACCGTGCAGAGGTTATGACGCTTTTTCGCCCGAGTTATTCGCTCCACTCTTGCCACCGCATCTAACCCAGCGCTCGATATTTATCAGGAGTCTTGGATGCGCTTGCAAACAAACGCTTGCCTCGTGTATGGGGCAAATTCACGATTTCACTTTGAATCGAGATGGAAATTGAGAAACTAGCGCTTGCCTAATTCCCGCTCGTCAAAATTTCCTTCCCTCTCGAAATTTACGAGAGACGAGAAAAAGCGAGCACGATGGCTTGCAAATTAGGATACGATAGTAACGAGCATCTTGATCGTGATGACAGGGGTACATCGTTCATACGATGACGTCATATGGACGAGAAGCGGGAAAACTGATTACGTATTCGTGCCCGCGATGATTCCGATTTTTCCGAGCCATTAAGCCCCGCTCGCTTAACCCGCAGAACGATGTCGTTCGAAACAAGGGACGACAGGTTGAAAATCATCTCCTTGGACCGTATCCCCGTATATCGTAAACGGGGCCGTGTTTCGAAAACGTGGTCGCGCGTATTCTTTCCCGTGACTCAACATCCTCGTCCTCGGGAATACGTAAATGGTGCACGATTCTCAGGTACGAGCAATCGTAAATAATTTCCCACCGACCCTTATATTAAATTTCTTGTCAAAATATTTCGAGAAATCGAGGATCCCCGCCACACCCTCCCCTATTCGAGCGCTAATCGGTAACGGGATACTTTCTTTTCTCCCAGAAACTTGATTCTATCTCCACGCCTACCGTTAAAAATCTAAATCGTTGCTCAAAGAGCAACGATTCCATTCTATTCCGAAAAATCTCTTCTTTCCCTCTCGAGATACCGGTTCAGTTACATCCAATACGTACCTTACCTTCGTTTCTCTCGAGGTAGCGACAAAAACTCAGGAGAATGCAAAGAAGATATATATATATATATATATGGATGAAATAAAATAAAAGAAGGGAAAAAAAAGGAGAAGGAAAGAGAATCTTCCAATTACGAGAAATATCCTCGTTTCCGTGTTGAAAGTGCGTCGTTAAGACGGCATCCCTGGAAGACAGGGATTTTATTGGCCGGCATTTCCGTTGCGTCAGCGGAACGACGAACGGTTTGCCATCAGGATTACGAAGGATTCCGCAAGAAGGGAGGGAGGGAGAGAAAGAGAGAGAAGGTTTTCGTAACGAGCAGCTTTCCGACAGAATTGGTTGTTTTAACAACTGCGCGCCACTTTGAGCCCGCCAAGAGGACCCGTGTCGAGGGACCCGTGGAAAAGGATAGGAGCGAGGGGGTCGGAGGGGGGTGGAGAAGGAGAGAAAATACGCGGTTTTCGCGAAGACACGGCGCCGAGGTACAAGCCGCTACCGTAATAGTCCAATTTGCCGGCAAAGGAAAATACCGGAGGATTCTGCGAAAGGAGAGAGGGGGAGTGGCTTCCGGGCTGGCACTGGCAACGCTCAGAAAAGCCGGGAGACGGAAAATTGGAGACGCGGCGAAACACGGAGCGAGGGAGCCTTTTCGTGGAGGACAGTTTCCGCGAGGATGCCATCTACTTTTCCAACGGTCTTGCTTCGCGATACAACGCCCTGTTAATTACACGTGTAAAATATGATATATTTTTTTGCGATGGAAGCAAAAAAAAAGAAAGAAAGAAAGAAAGAAGGAAGGAAAGAAAGGAAGAGAGAAAGAAAGCATTGGACGCAAGTATCGTATCGAGATGGAAATTTATCATGGCGAAGTAAATCGATTTCGCGGGATGAAGAAGAAGAGGCGCCTAAAGGTCCCTCTCGATACTTTGGTTGCGCAAGCTTGAATAGATCGAAGGGAGAGAATGAAAGGGAATTTTCTTTTCGGAATATATTTAATGATATCTCCAAGTTTGATGGATCGATGTCGTACGTTTAACGAGGTTTGTTGTAATAAAGAAATAGGAGAGAAGAGGTATTTTTTTTTTTTTAGTCGTGAAATGCATTCGATGGATAATTCTTGGATGGAGACGTTGTAAATAAATTACAATGATAGAAACTTTGTTTTGGAATTTATTCGATCACCTCCTCGGTGATGCTTCTCGGATGATCCATCATCCCAATGTCCGATCTAATCATCTTATTTCCCTCGATGTAATTTCACTCGAACGCCTGACAGCCGGCAAATCGACAAGGAAGGGGATCGAGGAGCACGAAGGGAAACTTATGTTAATATTCTGAAAGGTAGGAAGTCAAAGAAACCGACGAAAGAACGAGATTAAAAGAGCGAATATTCGAGCGTCTTCGTAATCAGAGGCAGGCGAAGAGAGAATGGGAACGGGGTCAGAAAATGCAGAATTACTTTCTTTGATGTGGATGAATGAAATAAACCTATTAAATTGATGGATACGATACTCGAGCGATCGATCGAAGCTAAAAATAGCTAGAAATAAATATTCGAATAATAGAAAGAATGGGACGAAAATCAAAGTTGGGAACAAGGAGGGGGAGAGGGGGGTCTATGGAAAATTGGAGAATATTTTCCGTGGATGGAAAGCGATGTGCAGCGAGGCGAAGAGGGAAGCGACGAAGGTAGTCGATTAATAGAGGCGATACTCGAGTCGACGGCTTTACAGAGATTTTTGTGGTAAAAGGGCTCGATTTCAAAGAGGCGGCACCGATTCAACGCGAACGGTTGTTGACTGTTCGCGAAAATAGTGGTAGGTAGGCGCGAGGCTCGTTCGGGATCTCGAGAGTCCCCGCTGGCTATTACGATTGAAGAGTATTTCTCGAGGTGGGATTCCTGGAACGGTCGAACAGAAGGAAAGTTTTCGAAGCAAAGTGGATCGAGGCAAAGAGGGTCGAAACTCGAAGAGGTGGCCGAATCGGCATTATATGGGATCATGCTCGCTCCTCCTTTCCACCGGAGGATGGAAACGTGGATGGAATCGTGCGTTTGTGCGATTTGTTTCGTAATTAATTGTCACTCGTCGTCGTTGAGAAGAAGCGAAAGGAAGCTCGAGGAAACAATTTAGGCGGTGGCAAGGAGGAACCGGCGAAGGGAGTGGTGGAAGATTGAAAGAGGGAAGGAGAAAGGAGAGAAAGAAAGAGAAAGGAAGGTGGGATCGCGCGAGGGTTAAGCGCGACAAAGGGGTTAACCAACGATTCCTCGATTCGTCGCGTAAGAGATATTCTCCGGTTGAAACGGGTGAGCGGTAAATCGGAGAAACGGGCGCACTTCCTCCTCCGCGGTCCTTTCTTGCTTTTTCTTTCGGTTCACTCTCGTGACCGATTGTACCTATCATAGTGGCTCGAGATGCGCGTGTGTTCCCATACATCTCCTTTCATTCGAGAGACTCGAGAGAAGAGAAGTGGGTGGACGATGCCTGGCTGGGGTGTCGCTAAAGACAGACAAAGAGGGGTGGGTTGAACAGGCGCGAGGGAAAGCGAGAGAGGAAGGACGCGGAGCGGAGCGCAGACGAGGAGAAGAGAGAAAAAGCGAGAAAGCGGAGGTGGTGGTGGTGGTGGTGGTGGTGGTGATGGTGGTGGTGGAGAGAAGAAGCGGATGGGAAAGGGAGGGAGGATGAAAACGGGGTGTGAGAAAGGTGAAGAGGGAGAGAACGAACGAACGAACGAACGAGCGAACGAACGAGCGAACGAACGAACGAACGAACGAGAAATGGGTGCTGGCGAGGGCTGCCACGTCGGAGGAGGCAACAAAGATATTAATTAAGAATTAACACGCGTACTGAAACCGCCCTTAATTAGTAACAGTCAGTGCCTGGAGCAGCGGTTTGTCTGCGCGAACTTGTAGCACCGGGTGCAGGGTAAACACGGGGAATGAATTGTAATCAAAAAACATGCCACCAGATAACATACTGTTTCGCGAGAAAGAAAAAGAAGAAATAAAATTTATTTAAAAAAAAAAAAAAAAAAAGAAAAAAGAAAGAAAAATATTCCGGCTGGGGAAAATGAAAGGGAGAGAAAAGAGAAAGGGGAAGAGAGAACGAATTTCCTTCGATCGCACGCGATCAACGAGCGTGTACGATGATGCCGTTTACGCTGAAACGTTGAAGTTTAGAACGCGAGGACAAAAATAGAGGCGAGCGCGAGTCGCGTGACGAAGGCCGAACGACGTAAAAGAAAAGCCTTCAAACGGTTTTCACTCGTGTCATGAAACATTTGCTTTGATTACGAGCCGGAGCTCATTAGCACCGTAATAACGCGAAACGGGTTGTACAGTAGGTAAGGAAAAAACCTTAGAATCGGTGCATATAATACCGAATGAAAGAAGAAGAATTTCTCTTCCCTTTCGAGCAGAGCACTCTTTGCATCGACTTATTATCGCGCTCGATCGATAAAAAAAACGCGACTTTTCTCTCAACTTTTTTGAGAAAAAGAATCAGACGAGTACGATACGTCGTTCAGATCTTTCTTCGCGAGAGAACGCGAAGGAAGAAACGCGATAATCGATGATCGACGAACGAGCTTCGCGTTCCGGACACGAGGCTGGCTGATTTTCAACGAAGGCGCATTTGGAGGACGCAGCGCCGCTGGTCGAGAGGGCGTTCTACTTCGAATTTCTCTACCGCTACTTACGTACATTCAGAACGCAATTATGGCGGGGCAGAACGAAACCCTTTCTAATAACCGGTTAAATTCATCTTTCGAATTGAATAACTTAGAGGCGATGAAAGGACGCTTATTTTTAATAGGAAACTCGTTACACGCGTTCTTGCCTCGCGCGAATTTAGTAATCCCGCTCTCAGTTTTTAGCGAGCGAAAAGCGTGTTGGCACTTTTAACGGCGCGTTCTGAATAGAGGTCATTAGCTCGGCGATCGGCTCGTCATCTCGACGACAATTTTCT